GAATTTATCAAGAATTTAATAGGCTGTTACTAGCTTGTGGAATAATATTACTAGTAAATAGATTAAAATTTATCCAGAAAGAAGGAGAACTAATTAACTAAGTTAAACTAGGATTATTTAATATAATAATAAATTAAATAATATTATATTTATTAGCTAGACACTCCAGCTTCCAGAGATTCTTGATACTTAGAGAATCCTTTATATCTAACTATTTTAATATATTTAAATTATAATCCAGCATCTACTCACCATAATCTTTTAAAAACTGCTATTATTTAAATAAATAAACTATTTTAATAAAAATATAAGTCTGCTTAGTTAAGGCCTCAGCAAGTTTACTTTATATTTTTAATTAATTTTACTTCAACTTATTCTACTTTTTATTGTTATAGAATTATTTCTTATATTTTTAATTATAATAAGTATAAATAGTATAATTTCAGCTTTTCAAATCTATAATATAAGAAATATCTTTCAGAAAATAATATTTACAGGAGTTTTTAATAATATAACTATTCTTATAAATCTTGTCAGACTGACGAATATACTTTTTTATTTAATTATAATTAATATAATAATGAGATATATTAATCTATTCTTAAGAAAAAAAAGAAAACTGAAGAATCTAGTTAATATATACAAAGGGATATATATCTTATATTTCTTGAGAATAAGAAATCTTAAAAAAAAAGAGTAATGTTACAGATCTTTATTAATTAAGCTATTAATAAAGTAGACTTATCAGGCAGAAAATACTGAAAAAATAATATTTAAATAAAATTAAATTAGTATTTAGTATAATTTTGGATTACTTTTATAACGCCCAGAATAATCTTATATTATATAATTATCTATTATCAAGTTTACTACTGGAGGTATATTCAGGATATACTGAGATTCTGGATTATAATTAAATTAATTATTACTTTATTTTAAATAGTATATAATATAGTATATAAAAAATAGAATATATAAGAATATTTTTTTATATACTTAATTAGTTCTGTTCTTCGTGCTTAATAATATTGTTTTTAAGTAATTATATATTTAAAAACTTAGCTACAGAATACTTATTTATACTTATTTATAAATAACTATATAATATTATTTAGTTTTACTTCTTTTCTCATATCCAAGACTAGTTATTCTTAGATAGTTCTCAGCCTGATACCCCTTCAACCAAGTTCAGTGGTATGTATACCAGTGAAGCTAAGCTAACAGAAACAGGAAAGTGATCCTAGGATTTGACACTATTATTCTATTATTCTATTTTATTTTATTTACTTTATTAATTATACAGTCAGGTTCTATTTTATGGATTATCTAGAAAAGCTATTTTAATATTAGAGATTATTTCTTGATTCTAAGAATACATTATCTGTTAAATAAGAAAAAATAACTACTATTTAAACAGAGATCTTAAAATATCTGAGATTTTATATATATTAATTAATCAGCAGGCAGTTATGAGGCTGGATAGCTGAGTCCTCTAGTAGGGACTTGTCTCCTAATATTAATAGAATTTTATTATTTATATATTATTTATAATTTCTAATATATTCTCAGGTCTGGACAAGATCTTTTATAACATTTTAAAATACTAGAAATTCTTATTTTTTATAATAATATTTAAAGAGCTCAAGATCTATCTTAATATTAAAAATATATAAATCATTAAAATTTAGATAATTAAATTAACTATTTTTAAAATATTATTTATACTAATAGTTATCTAGAAATTACTGGATATTTAAATATTTTTATTTATTAAAAATCTTAATATAATTAGTTTTTTATTTTTTATTACATGGCTAGGGACTTTCTAATTATTATAATTAATAATATTAATATTAAATATCTTTTTAATAATTCTTAGAAGATTTATTACTATTACCAGAATTATCTATATTCTGAGACTATTAAAGTCTTTATATTTCAAATATATATTAATTATTTCATTATTATTAAGAAATATTAAAATATTTTTAATAATCTTTTTCTAGATTTTATTATATTCACAGCTGAGGATCAAGAAGATAATAAATTAATAATAATTTTTTATATTAATAAAAATAAAAATATAGATAACTTTAATAATAATTCTGAAAATAAAATATTGTTAAAGAAAGAAAATTAAGCTTTTTTTCATTTAAATAATATTATATATATCCAGGTATAAATAAATATTTAAATTATATAATCTCTTTATTATCATGAACACTGACCAGGAATTCTTTTAATTTTATTCTACCATCGGTTCCCTGTAGAAAATATTTAAATATTATAAAAATATTACTACCTAATCTATTATCTGTTTCCTGCAGAAATCACAGAAATTTAAATATAATAATAAAATTAATTAATACTTTTTTATATAATCTTTTTTTCTTTCTATCTCACCAGCCGCACGGAAGGGTGAGAGGATGAGATACATTAAAAAAATAATATTATAAATAAATATAATATTAGCTTTTTTAATAATTTCTATATTTCCTGTAGAAAAAATATAATCTAAGGGTAAAAATTATAATAAAATTATTAAGTAATATTATTTTTCTTTATTATCCGCTGGCTCGGCGGTATCGCGGAGATCTAATTATATTAATATAAAATTATTTTTAATTATTTTTATTTTATTTTTATATTATTATTATTTTTACAACCTGCTGTCCAGCATATAATCTTTATTTTCTTATAAATAACTATAAGTATATATACAGATTATCAGGTATTAATATTTTTATAAAAAGAAATACTTCTTGAAAAGTATATAATCTAGATAAAGTAAATAATACTAAATAAAGATTATATATAATAAAAAATTTTAAGTTATAATATATATAATATCCTTAAGATCTATAATAATATATTAATATATTATTTTATATAATACTTATTAGAGTAACGCTTATTATTATAATATTTATTTTTATAATATTAAATAAACTTAATTAGGCTTAGAGTCTGTGGAAAAAAATACTAATCTAATTTAAATTTTTATTATATATACTAACCTGATTATAATTCTATTATATATATTAATTATATTTAGAAAAGAATATTATTATCTTTAAATATTTATAGCTTTACAGAATAGTTAATCAGAGAAATCAAAATTATATTATTATATTTCCTGTAAAAAGCTTTATCAAGTAATACTACTTATAAACTTATTAGATATTATTTAACTGTTGTCCTGTTGTAAAGATTTCCCTACTAGACTTTATTTTTACTAATACCAAAGATGATTCTAAATTAATTAATTTAATATAAAATAAAAAAAATAGTTTTTCTTTTTTCATTAATTTTTTATAATAAAAATATTTATCTTGATATATTTATTAATAAAGATATAAATAGATAAAATAAACAAGAATTAATCTAAGTATATTTTATTTATATTAAAGTTTAAAATAATATAACAGATAAGACTTAATACCAAGAATAACTAAGATAATTAATTATCTTATCTTTAGACTTAACTGTAGTCAGCTATAAGATTTATCTTAACCTAATCATTAACCTGACAGTAGGTATAAACCTTGCCATTAACTTGACCTGACCTGGCTGTTTGCCACTCTAAAAAGACTCTTTTTAAACACATGATATCTTGACTATTATAAGACTAGAAGACTTAATATTGTATAAATATATTATAAATAATATGAATAGCTATCTAATACTTTTTAAAATTTTATATAATTATGAATAGTATCTTATCATATTACAAAATCTGTAATTTATCTATAATTTTGGATATATTAATATATTTTCTATAAAATTTTTTTAAAAAATCTAAAAAAACGATGTATTATTTATTCAGTTGTATATTGTTTATATATAATATTAGAACTGATTAGATTCAGTATTGGTTAAGATATTAAAGATTCAAAAAGATATCTTTTATATGGGATAACCAGATGGGCCGTCTAACCGTAGTGGGCTGTCTAACCGTAGTGGGCCGTCTAACCGTGGGTTACGTTATCTTCTCAGGGGTTGCTGTCAGCAATCCTTTGGATCTGGGAGATCACGTGATCTGTGCGCGACAGTCATGTGATGAGGCATGGGATGACCAAGGTCTCACATCAGCTCTCATGGAAGCGGGGTTTCTTATCCAACTGGGCATTGATCAAATAACAAAATGGATCTCAACAGTAAGTTAGTGGCTGAGACATCTTTCCAGTGCTGCAGCTCGCGCCGTTGTCAGCGCTCATCGCATTATACTAGGATCAAAGAACAGAATATCTTGTAGCTTTCCCGGCTGACTGTAAACAGCACCACACGCTTTTCACCGGCAAACATTATACTGGTCTCGCCCAGACTCTCTCCTTGCATCCAGCTTTCATCTAATTCATCAATCCCTCTCATAATTCGGACTAGTGGGGGGAATAAGCAGCTAGACTACTGACAGGGGTTCATCAGGCTGACGCGGCCTTCGCAGTGGCAGTGCACTCATTGTGTTCGTCAGCTATTTGTCATCTTATGCAGTGGGCGTAAAATCAACCGAGATATTGAAACACCTGTGGTAAGAGGACAGGGAAGCATGCTTATTATCCCCAGTATGCCTAGTCAGTAAAGGATTCAAAGTGCGACTCGTTCACAGAACACTATCTAGATACCAAGAATAATCAAAGCTCGAATGGTGTCCAAGTGCCGGCTTGGTCCCTTGAAATAAGGCTTGATTGCTCTCGTTGCTACCTGCTTCACTTTGCTATTGGTGTAAGGCAGCTCAAGCTATTTTAGCGTAGTGCGGCCGGTTTTGGAAGAATGTGATTGGACATTAGTCATCGCTGATGATCACCGACTACTAACTATTAGGGGTCTTTGCTGACCGTCGTGCTGAATGGTGTATTGCATGCGCAGAGATCAATGGTGAAAGAGGGGTAAGATGACAGGGTAATCTGATTGGAAGATACTGTAGGGGTATATGAATCGAGTACACACACCATGTAGTCAGCATATCGACTGAGAGATTTCCCTACAAAAGTAAAACACAGTCAAGAGACGTGCAGCTCAGCGCAGCGAGTCCTTCTCCAATGATCAGCTTCCGCCCAATTATAAATAAAGGCACCGCAGAATTGCAGAAAAATAAGCGCGGAAGCGACGAGGGGCCCCAGGATTGAGAACACTGTAAAGCCGTATGACACAGACTGAAACGCGGGACTGTGCGCCAAGGCGTCGGTCGCAAGGCCCACCTGCATCGCCGTCAAGACAATAGCAATGTAGACGGTGACGCTAGCGAGCCATGAAAAGTAATCATGGAAAAAGGCGCTATACCGATCCCACCGTGCCATATACCCGCGAAGGGGTGTTTGGTAGAGCGCGTAGATTTTATTTAAGCGACTCAGGCGCAGCTCGCCGTGAAGGAAGCGGCGGTCGATGCGGGGGTAGATGTATTTTGTGTCCAGCTGCTCCACGAATATGCGCCATGCGGACCAGGTTATCTCTGGCCGGAGTAGATGTCGGTCTTGAGCAATGCGAAAATCACTTTCGTGGGAGAGCAGGGCGGTGTAGGAGAAAAGAAAGCCCAGCGCTCGTCGGTAGAGCCCTCGACGCTTGCACTCTGTTAAAGTGTTGGCTGAGCAGCCGCATTCAGGTTGGCAGCTGAGATATTCGGTCCAGAAATTTGGTTCCAAGAGGAAGAGCGGAATTGGTTTGAGGAACATCCGGCCTGACGTCCAAACGAGATGCATATCCATCTGCTCTGTGATGAAGATTTCCCGACCCAGTAGGAGCTGGTGATGTAGGGCCCGTGGTGGCAAAGGCAATCCAGCGATCCAGAGCCAATGGTGAATGGTAGTAAGCCGAGCCAGATCCAATTCCTTCTCTACGCAGGCAGTGATATTATGAGCTGCAGCGATCAAATCACCCTGGCCATCACGGTATGATGCGGGAAAGAATGGCAGGAGCTTGTCAGGGCCATGAAGAGTCGTCGTCTGCTCGAGGAGCCGGACCGAGAAGGGGGGGGCCTGTTAGCAGAAAAGTTAGCAGAAGCAATATCGAGCAGTCATTGCTGGTTTACCTGGGATGCAGGGCCTCTAGACATTGCGTGTAGCTGTTCTGCTGCCTTTGTCTACTCTGTGCTGTGAAAGAGTCCATCTTGTTGCCTGATCCACGGGACCCCTCATTGGCGGTGAGGGCGTGGACAGGGGACCTTTGCCATATGCCCTAATCAGCTCTGCTTCGTCTTTGGCAAGACACGGCCACCGCAACCAGCCACATAAGCTAACTGAATTAACTAATAAGTAGTTAATTATAATTCTTTAATCTGTCAGAGTTTGCCCTCCTGCTGCTCTAAACTCATCCCTAATCAGTCTCTCCGTTCAGATTACCACTTCATCCTTCACTCATAGCTTTCAGCAAGACGTGACACCTTTATGGTAGTATATGTCGTCGTAACAAGTACCCTCATCAAAATGGTTTTTTGCCTTCGCCCCCGAAAGTATCCAGCCAAGGGTCCATCACGAAAGGGCAGTAGTGCCCCTATAAAAAAGCCATCCGAAGCCGAGATTAGAACCTGGTACCGAGTCGCACTCGACAAGATCGTTTCCGCCCGTCTCGAGCAAGAATCCAGTACTGCGCGGGGGGAACCAATCTTCCTGTCTCACTACATCAGCCAAGGTCAATTCCGGCACTGGGTCTTACACACTTACGGCCATAAGTACGAATTACGCCAGCGACGAGATAGCGACGGCGGGTACGCGGCGAAAATTAGCCCATCCCCCTTGGACCTTAACGCGTACAGATACTCGGTCTTGGCGAGCTACTCTCCCAAAGTCGGCAGCTACTTTTACAGCATGATCGGCTGGACCACGCTGCCCAAGGAACGGATCGACGAGCACAGTCGGCAACTCTCGGCCTGTTTTGGGACATATGGCCTGCTGCTGAATAACTGCCACGACTTCCTGCAGCGACTGGCCGATACGATTGTGACTACGAGGGCGCCGGATTGGGCGTGGTTCCGATATAATACCGTGAACAATTATCACTATATCCTTGCGTCGCCGTTAGATTATTGGACTATAAGTGCTGGTACGTGGCTTAAACATCTCGAGCGATCAAGGCATTATCTCGGCGGGCAAGACAGAGAGAGGGTTGATGAACTTATGGTCGTACTCGAGGATCTTATCGAAGAACGCGTGAAACGCTCATCAAATCAGTTATGGGCCATATCAAACCCTGGAGGCGCTGCCGGCAGTGGCCATGGTGGCGGTGGTGGGCATGGTGGGCATGGTGGGCATGGTGGAGATGGCGGCGGTGGTGGAGATGGCGGCGGTGGTGGAGATGGCGGCGGTGGTGGAGATGGCGGCGGTGGTGGAGATGGCGGCGGTGGTGGATAATTTACGGCGGTTAATAGCGGCCATCAGGCAAATACTATTTTCATCACTAAGTCCCTTCAACGCCTGTAATTTTAAACACAAAGAATAATTTATTTAAAACTCTAAATAAGAAGAATATAATAATTTAAGAATATAATACTTCATATTATATATTAAATTTTTGTAAGGATCCAAATCCTTATAATCCTCATGATACTCATTATCACGAGGAATATCCATACTGATAATAATCTCGTCGTGAGGTTTAGTTAGTACTTGCCATATAATTTATAAGCTATCTGTGAATATCTTACTATTTATAGATAGAATTAGAATAATTAATAATAATATTTTAAAAAGATCAGCCTTATATTTCATATTTATAAATAAAATATATTTTTTATATTATTTTATTATATTTATTCTTATAATCTTGTTGCTGAAATCCTGTAAGATAATTTATTAAATTATATTTATATGAAATATCAGAAACTGTATTTATAAAAAATCTTTTAAATTCTCTGATTCTTTAATCCGCGAGATTATTATAGAAATAGTTATAAAAAATCTAGAAAAGTACAGATCTCTCTAGATAAGTTTTATAAATAACTTAATTTACTTAAATAAATTTTAAATCTAGAGTTAAGATTAGAAATTATTATAAAATTAAAAAAAATTTATAAAGATTTAAGTAACTCTAATAATTTTATTATAAATTTTAAATATTTAAAATATTTATATCTGCTTTCTGTAAGACAGTAAATATTATAATATTTATAATTATATTATTTATTAATTATTTATTACTCAGCAAGAATCAACCGTGGAAATAAATAACTAGAATAAAAAATAAAAAATATATATTATAATAATTTATCTAGACTAAATTCTTAGCAATCTCTAGAAGAGAGAAACTGTGATTATTTATTATAATTATAAATAAAAGAATTTTTATAAATTCTTAAAAATCCAGCTAGAAGATTTAAATAATAGAAAATAAAAATCTAGTTATATATTCTTAAAACTATTCTCTATAAAGAAAAAAAAGATTTTATATATTTTTAATAATAAAAGAAGATAAGAATAAAACTTAGTTATAAAGTTTAAAAGCTAGATATAATATAATTTTATTTATTTTTTAAATTTTTTCCTGTAATAATTAAGTAGAAGATTTATAAATAATTAAAATTTTCTATAAATAAGCAGGACTTGGTAATATTTTTTATAAAAATATAATTAAATTTATTCTAGTAAAGTAAAAAATCTAATTATTTATAAAAAAAAATTATTATTATTTATAAATAAAATTAAATAATTTCTGTAATATACCCTGTAAGATAAAAAATTATAAAATATTTTTTTATAAAAAAAAAATATTAATATTATCTTATAAATAACAGTTAGTAAGTCTATAATAATTCTTAAATTAATAATATATTTTTACTGCAGAAAGCAGGATTACTTTATCATAAATTATTATATTAAAAAAGAAAATTAATTATAGAAAAATAACTAGTTGCTTGTATAGAATAGAAAATATTAAAAAAAATATTATTTATAATATATTTTAATTTATAAATATATAGAAAATTACTTATAAATAATAACTTTAATATACTTTGTGAAATAAAAATACTGGTAAATATAAAAGTAAAAGTAAATCTAGTTTCTATAATATTTATAAAGATTATAGAATAAGAATTAATTTTTATAAAAATATTTATAAAATCTTTAAATAAGGACAGCATCTGCTCAGAAAAAATAATTATTTTTATAATAATTCTTAAGAATACAGAGAACGACTGTAAGGATTATTAAGATATTATAATTATAATATTAAATATAAAAAAATTATACTGGGAATATTTTAGATTTATATTATAAGATTTATTATAAAGTTTAATTATTATTATCTAAAATTATGTGAAATCTAAATAGTTTAAATATATTATATATATATAGAAAAATTTCTTGTGGAAAAAAATATAAAATAAATATATATTATAATAATTTAAAATACTTATAAAAACCAGAAAAAGAAATTATTTAATTAATTATAAAAATTTAATAAGATATTTACGGAAGAAGAAGTTATATTATATTTATTTTTATAATTAAAAACTAACCTGGAGATTAAGCTTGTAAAAAATATAAATTTAAAATAAATTTAATTTTTAAAATATTTTCTGTGGAATAAAAGACCCTGTAAGAATATTTATAAAATTATTTTATAAAAATTAGATTAAAAATTTAAAATTATATATAAATATTTTAATTTTATTTATAAAGAGGAAAGATAAAAGCCTATAAGATCATATTAATTATTATAAATCAAATAAATAGATTATTAAGAATAAATATCTTTTATTATAAATTAACAATTATATTAAATATTTTATAAAAATATTGTAATTTACTCAGCTAAATCTTTATAAAGTCTATTATAGAATATAAATTATAAAAGATTATAAGTAGAAAACAGTATTCTGTATAAAATATAAATTATTTAAATATATAATTATATTTTTTAGATTAATTAGTACCCCCGCGGGATTTTAAGATTTTATAAATTTATTATTTATAGAGTACCTGGATTACTTTATTATTATTTATCTAGATAATATTATAGTATACTTACAAGATTTAGAGATATATAAAAAATAGATCTGTAAGATACTGTAAATTCTAGAGAAAATAAGATTATATATAAAATAAAGTAAATATTATTTTATAAGATTAGAAATTAATTTTCTAGATTTTATTATTAACTGTAAAGAAATATGGATGGAACTAGAATAGATTAAGATAATTTATAAATAATTAAAATTATAGAATATAAAGAAAATTCTATAGTTTATAGATTTTATAAATTGGTATTACTGGTTTATATAAAAATATTTATAAATATTTAATTTATTTATAGACCTGACTAAGAAATCCTGTAAAATCTAGTAGGGAAATCTTTACAACAGGACAACAGTCAAATGATGTCTGATAAAGTTATAAGTAGTATCATTTAATAAAGCTTTTTATAAGAAATATAATAATATAACTTTTATTTTTCTAATTAATTATTTTATGGAGCTATAAGAATTTGAAGATAAAAATATTTTTTTTCTAAATATTAGGGTTTTTAGGGTTTTATTAGGGTTTTATTAGGGTTTTATTAGGGTTTTAGGGTTTTATTAGGGTTTTAGGGTTTTAGGGTTTTAGGGTTTAGGGTTTTATTAGGGTTTTAGGGTTTTAGGGTTTTAGGGTTTTTAGGGTTTAGGGTTTTAGGGTTTTAG